TGGCGCTCAATGGTCTGGAGCTAAAGTTCTTCCAAAATTTAAATGTCAAGCTAGCGCTTAGCACCACATCAATCCTACTTAATGTCATATCAAAAAAAATTCCACTTCAAATATGTGATTTGGAAAACCAAGGACCTATTTAGATGATCAATTGGTATTCTTAACTCAGTGTTTGGTTTAAAAACAGTTATTAGTGTCAAAATGAACACCAACTCGATCAAATGTCAAAATCCTCAGTTTTCTGCTCAAGTATCACCAACACTTAGTTTAAGAAATTAAACACACCATATCAGCACAAAAACAACAACCATCTTTAACATACAAACTCAATCAACAATATGTAACACATGCACACTAAAGTATCTAACTTCTCTTACCTTACTTATGACCAACAAGCTCTAGGGGTCCTAAGACAACTCTAAAAGCACAAAGAAACATTATTTTCTCCAACGAACAACAGAAACATGATCGAGGCATAACGTTAGAATCATTTATCAGCAGAGAGTTTTATAGAAGACTCAAATGTAACATACAAGCTTAGGTAGCTCACATGCATGGAAAAGTGCACAAACTAAAGGGGAAAAAACAACAACTTATTCTTTTACATAAATCGATTTGTTAAAGTAGAAGACATTGCCTCAAGGATCACTCAAGCGATCTTTGATCTCCAGATAAGTGAATAGAAGTTTAGGAAACTTAGAGAGAAGGTAAAGAGCTCTTAGAGAAAGAGTTTTAGAGAGATTGTGTATTTTCAGGTAATGAAACTTATTAATAGAAATTACATTTATATGTTAAACTTTTAATATTAATATAATTGAGTCTCATTATTTAAAACATGTTATCACCACTAAGATACTATTTTTTAGACTCTTACATAAATCTCAAATTATTCTGGGTAAGAAAATAAGGTTTTGGATATTTTTAGATAACTCATAAATAAATAAAAATTAAATTAATCTTAGAAAATAAAACACAAATGATTTAAAATTTAAATAAAAATAAATAAATTTATTTGATAAAGTCTAAATCAATTAGTATTTTTCTAGTAAGTTGATATGGTGGTTTTTTTTAAGTGAAACATCTTATTTGATAATTTTTTTTCATTCATAATCTTTAGTTATGGATTATTATTTAGAATATAAGATATCACTTCTACTTTTTCATTCTCTCACATGTATATGTATATCCATTCATTTCCATCTCTTTTTAGAATCTTATCATATTTCGTAGTAGTTGGAGAATTAAGGATTTTTTCAATTCAAGTGTCTTTACCTTTGAGTTTCTAAGTATTGAATATTCTTCTTACTTAAGATAGGAAATTTTCAAGAAAATAGATGTACCTCTTCCTTTTTAATCTAGACTAAATAAAACAAATAAATAATAATATTTCATGCAAATAATTCCTTTAATGCTTAAATATTTACCCATCACTAAATATTATGTCATGATAAATATTATGCCATAATATTTTCAACGAGCTTAAAAGGAGGTTTTGTCTAAATCACTTAAGTGAGAGCTCCATCTAATACCTCACTCAACAAAACTATTTTCACTCAAGGCAAGATATATAATTTATTATCCATGTATTCTATTTTTTTTTTTTTTACTTTTTTGAATATGTATGTTATATATACATGTAATGCGAATTAGAATTACATGCTCATGTATGAAATATAAGACATGTGATATCACAAGTCATAGATGATTTTTGTGTACCATCGATAAATGTATGTATTGTGTATAGAACTATGTTATAACAGAGATCCATAGCTTCAATGATAAATGTGTAGAGTAAAACATCCGATGGTGAGAAAACTAAAGAAAATATCAAATTATGTTTATTGGATTAAAATTTTGAAAAGAAAAATATTTAAAATCATAATTTTCCAGTATGAACCTACTTACAAACTAACATAATATTTGAAAAAAATAAATAAAAACTTCAAATTAATAAGTCAAGTTATAACAAATTTGTCAAAACTAATTTAAGACGTGGATGTAAAAGTATAACACAATTTATCTATAATAAAAATATAAAAGCGACTCTCATATCCTTCATACTAAACTAATATATTTTAAATAAAAATATATTAGTTTGAGTTAGATAAAAAATCAAATCAATCTAATTGTTGAATTAAATAATGAGATACCCCAGTCCAATAAACAATCAACTTGCAAAACATTCATACAATAATAAGGCACGTATAATTTGTAAAGACACAATTTGAAGCATTTATTAATTAGGTGAAGATCTACAATGATTGACAACTTTTCATTGAATTGCATTAATATGTATGTCTACATGTTGGAAAAAAACTTGGTTTGGAAATTGAAATTTTGGATGCAAGTGGATCTAGCTAGGACCATATATCAAGTTACAGGAATATGTCATTTTATTTTATGATATCATTTATTAACAAACTAAAAAAATTAAAATGCAATACTTTAGTTTGAGTGACAAATCATTTTAGAACATATTATAAAGTATTTAGAGTAATAATTCTTTACAGTAAATTATATATTAATAAAGATTATAATTTTATATCTATTAATTTTATTAAACATTTCAAATTCAATTTTAGCTAATTTATCATCTATTAACTATAAACTCACCCTTTAGTCAAAATTTTCTAAATATAGGTTTTTAACCTATAAACTAAACTAAAGTATTCTGGTTTCTAAAGGTTTTTCTTTATACGAAGGTATGAAAGAGAATTATTCCACGTATATATGGACAAATATCTCTCTTAAGCATTTCCAGAAAAGAAAATAAAAAATTAACATTTTGTATATAAATTAAAATTAATTTATAGTTAACGTAAAATAATAATTTTTAAAATCACATAATTTCTTTTAGAAATTAATTTATGTTTAAAGTAATTTTTATTTATAAATTCTTTTCCCTTCCTGGTTGTAAAATGACTCATATTCAATTTTATTACTATGTCAATAAGTTCAATTAGTTATTTTTTATGATATCCATATAATATAATATATGTAATAGATAGATCAACTGTGTCTTAGAATGTATATGTAAAGCCAAGGAAATACTATCTTAATCAATTTTAATCAAACTTTAATTGATTAGGTTAATACAAATAAAACCTTATTTCATTTTTGTATTAATTGATTAGGCATAATTCATTAAGTCATCATTTAATCGATTAAGTAAATAATATAATCAATTAATAATGGTTTCATATAATTGATTAAGTCACTAATATAATTGATTAATATTGACAATTACTTAGTTTTTCTTTAAATCTTGCATCTTCTCTCATTTCAAGAGAATAATACTTTATGATTCTAAAATCAAGAGAACATGTGTGAGAGAATCTTGAGCGTTCCATCTTTGCAGAAAACGTTTCTATTCAAGAAGATTAAAGATTGAAGGGCTTTACTCTTGGCTATAGGTTTGAATTCTAAAATCTTCAATTCAAGTGATATCTTCCTTGTATCCTTGTTATGTAATTTCATTCTTTGTGTTGTAATTCTCCTTTATGTAGAAGGTTATGGTGATTGTGTGAAGTGTCACCTAGTCTTGTGTTTCTTGGAGGGATTATTTAAGGTTTTGTTTAAATCTTGATTTTAGAATTATGTAAGTGCACTTGTAATATGAAACTTTCGATCTTTAATGGAATTTCTAGCTCAGGTGACTAAAGAAATTGGATGTAGATTCGTTAGAATTGAACCAATGTAGTTCTCTTGAAATGTTGTTATTATGACAATAAAAAGATTCAATTAGTTATTTTTTATGATGTCCATGTAATATAAGAGGTGTAATAGTTAGATCAACATTAATGTTAGTGTGTGTCTTAGAATGTATGTAAAGCCAAGGAAAAAAAAACTCTTAATCAATTTTAATCGATTAGGTTAATGCAAATTGAAACCTTGTTTCATTTATGTATTAATTGATTAAATATGGACATAATCAAATTCAATTATTATTTAATCAATTATGTAATAACATAATATTAACACATATTGGTTTCATTTTCTGAGTTTTGCAAAAAATACATTTTAATTGATTAAGTTTATAAAATAATCGATTAATATTTACAATTACTTAACTTTTCCATATTTAATTCAATACATGTTATTCTATAATTAAATCTAGATTCTTGTCAGTGTATTATTGAATGGTTAATTATGTTTGGACGGTATAATGTTGTATATTTGGTGGTTTGATTTGTGTGTTGTTTGAGATTACAAATTGTAAAATTTTTCTAGCTTACCTTACTATATGTTGTGGTATGGTTTTTCGTTTGCAATAATTATATGGCATACGCGAATAGAAGATTGTGTAAGTGAAAGAGATGTGCTAAGGTGAGACCATTGAGGACTTGTTTAAATAGTAATTATCACTTATGTATATAACTTTTATGTTATATAGATTCTTCTAGTTTATGGAGTTTTATATATTTTGAGGATTTAAAACTATGATTCTCATAAAAAATTGTAAATACATCTTATATACTTATATCTCTCTTTGTGACATTATCAATTATCTAATGATATAATTAGTAGATTAATTTTGCTAATTTGGATCATTACACCTTATATATTTAAATATATTTTGACCATGATATTGAAAATACAATAAGTATAAATGCATTTATTAAATTAAATATGAAATATCATTATTTAGCAGTGAAATATATTTTAATATATGATCAATGATAGCTTTTTTCAAAATTGTTCTAACTTAACAACATAATTTTATTTAATAGTGTTATTTTCTTTAATTATTCATCACTATATGAAGAAGATATGAAAATAGTATTAGTCTTTAGCTTTATGATTTACTTTTTGTATTCTTTATAAAAATATAATATTTTTTTTCTGATTTTTAGACTTATAATGAAATTATGTTAAACCAGAATATTAATATTAACAATTTAAATTAGATTATGTTATAGATGTTTTAAATTTGAAGAAAATTAATAAAAGTTTTCTAAAATAAATATTTAAAAAAAAATTGTACTTTAAAAGAACGGTTCATAAGTTGGTCCTGCACCCATAAGTGAGAGGCCCATTAGCTGAACTAAATTGGCAATTCAAAACATAGGCGTTTCGTTGCCACTAGTATCAATGTGTTTCCCATGTAAATAAACTTAATTATAATGTCCTTCCTTGGCCACCTAAAGAGCTCATTTTGCCATTGACATAAAGGAATATAATAGATTAATCACACTCAAACCAAATGTTAACCTTCAGGAATGAAGAAATGGAAAGATTGAGCCACTGTCCCAGTTACTAGTTCATTAAACTACATAGCACTTCATAAAACAGAGTCCACTTTGTCACAAACTCTGCCGCCAAAGAGTAACGTGGTTTTTTCAAGCTCCTACTCATATACACTCGTTATCATACAAACTCGTCAGAACTTTCCCTGAATGGAATTTTTTTCTTATCCCATTTCGATTTCAAATTCTTTGAAAAACAAACAAAGAACCTCTTGAACCCAATCCTAACCGGATTTTGTCATCTACATAAGTGATTTTAAGTTTAACTTCACTCTGGCCACCATACTGGACCTTCCATGATCCTACTTTTATTTCAGGTGCTTCAAATATAACTTTAATCCATTCACTATCCAGCGCCGTGAGTTTTCCTGTCTCACATTAGCATGCATCAAATCAGCATAGAAGTTTAACAATAAAAAAATATTTGGATTTGGATCACAGACTAGAGATAGAAAAAAGAAAACAAATACAGTAAACCACTTTTATCCTTGGAATGCAATTGTTCGCTTCAAATTCTAATGTTACAAAACCTTGACTTTAGTTTCTAAAACTAACATAACTTAGTGCCTGAAGACTCTTCGGTATACAAAGGTACAAGGGCAGATTTATTTATTCATATGCAAAGAAGATATTTCCAGATTCTAATCCCATAACAATCAGACACCAAGGCACAATTTAATCACTGTGTCAGTATTAGTCCATATTAGTTTAGTTTCTAAAGTTTTAAAAGGTTGGGAAACACCATTCACTTTGGTCCTTAATATCAGTGAAAAAAATGTAATAGAAGAGGACTAAAATGAAGGTTTTCCAATTTAAGGGACTAGAGTGATTAACATAACTTCTGATAGAGTTTGCTACAAATAGTCTGTTTTAATTTGAATAACGCCTTGGTTTACCGGGAGAAACCTAGTATTTAGAGTTATGGATTTGTTTCTGAACCGTTTTTGTTTTCTCTTTTCTGTTACCACTAGCTTTTATTTCAGATAAATGGGCTACTTTATGGTTGTAGGCAAATGTGTATTGATTAGCTATTTAAAGCCATAACTAACTTACTAAAATTGAGTCATTTCAGTCCAGTTTTTTGTGTTTCCATTCTTAGTTTTATTTTCAGATAAAAGTTCTCAACGATTTTTAAGACCCAAAGTGGAGGTTTAGTGCCAAATCATTCTTTTATTTTCTTTTTGCTTTACTATTGATAAAAACAACTTAAAATCATCCAGTCACCATTTAATCCCTTGGTTTAGGGTTTGAAATTCACAAATTTAAAATTTTCAGTTTTGCTATCAATAGCTTTTCTAGTTATGATATCAACAAGTGGAAGTTTCACACATCCTTTAAATAGTTGAATGACATACCCTTCAGAGACACCTCTGCATCCAGAAAGCCTAAAACAGAAAGCGTGACCTTGTTTCTCACAATATCAGGAGCCTCGACTGCTTGAACCATTTCCTTTGTGTTGAAGAAAAGGCGCCCAATTGCACTCCTATAGCCACCTCCAGGTGATGTTGGCCGTGAACAGTACACCACATCCCACTCTGAATAGCAAACACAAGGAAGAGTTAGTAAAGCAAGAATTCAAACTGATTCAAATCTTGTCGAAAAAAATGTGCATATAGAATGATTAAAACTAAGAAGTTGATGTGGACTCTTTTAATAGATAATATCTAATGCATATTCAATACAGTGAGGACAAAGATAAAATGCAGAACAATCAACAGCATCTTTGAATACATATAATGGTGTGTGAAATGAAATGATATGAGATAGACATAGCCCGAGGATCTTGTTGCCTTGTTTTCTAGATCCATTTCCAGTTTATGTGTCCCCTAAAAGTGTCGTATTATATTCACTTTGCTTTATTTTGTTCTTTTCATAATTTTCTTTGCAAATTCTTGTGAACGACTTAATTTGAAACAGAGCAAAAACAATATGGTATTTTATACTTACAAGTTACAAGTGAAAACCTAACCAGGAATTATTTAGAAAATAAAAAGTCAAAGGCACCCACCAAACTTTCTTTGCAAAGGTTAATAATAAGATTTAGCAAAACATGAAAAAAGGCTTTTAAGGACTTCTAACAGAAACTTAGGGTGAGAAGCACAATAAGCATTCACCTCCAAATATTAAAGGGCATTTCACTGGCTCACTCACGCAGTACTTCTGCAGTTCCTGAGCCACTTCAGCCACCTCTTTATGCTCTTCGTTCTTCAGTAAAACTCCTCCATCTGTTTGCACAACCTGATCAAAAACTCATATCTCTAATTTTAGGGCTGGAAACAAATTCAAAAATATTAATGGAACGAAAATGAAAATGAGTATTGTAATTTGTAATCAATAACTAACTCATTGCTTAAAAAGGAGCAAAATAAACAAAAAACACGAGCCTTGACATATATATATATATAGTATAAAACTTAGATGCAGTTTTTCAAGAACTTTTTAGTGTTTCTACAATCGAAAATCGAACTTCATCTCAAAATTCAATGCCGACTTCAAATGCAATTTTTTATTGTGTGAAAAGTAAACTTTACTGGAAGAACACCAAGAGTACCCAAAGAGTAATATTAAGCATTGTCCGATGGAGATGTCACATTAATAAGTGATATGTGAGAATAATGTATACAAATGAAGTTGAGGTAGGTGTATCCGGAAAAACTTCTCCATAAATATTTTTATAAGAGAGGAATAAGAGGAAAGGCAAAATTACCTTCTGTACAAGTTAAAAAATTAAATTTTTGAGAATTTATATGAAAGAGTTTCCACAAACGAACTTACATGGAGAATCTTAGTTCATTTCCTTTCTTATTTTTCTCTTTTATAAGTGTCTATGAAGAAGCTTATCCAAAGGAACTCTTAGAATCAAGCTCAACTTCTTTTACGATATAATCAAAATCCTAATAGCTAGTGTTAGGTCTAACTAGCAATGGTTATCAAACCAATCACATAGTCAATCTAAAACAAAATTCCAAAATTGCCATAACAAAATTTATGTTTCATTAAACTAGGAAAAAAAATCCGTCTCAGATTGAAAAAAAAAATATTGTTAGATTCTCTCAAATTATAAAAAATACGGTCTCAATTCCTGGAATCACACGGTGTCAACAAATATGATGACTGAAGGTAAACACGGGTTTCAAAATTTGAGAGATTAATTATTTTTTCTTCCATATGAGCAACTAAACAAGGATTTATTCCAAATTTCACAATAAACATAGTTAAGCAAAAAATCTATTTATTACAATAAAATTCTATTCACAAATTGTTTTCATCCGAGCAAATTAAACTGAGCTGGATAAACCATTCACAATAAAACGACTCTACCTTCGAGAGAATAGATGCAACGAGATCGTCAGGGCCTGTTCGCACGTTCGGATTGGAAACGGAAACCGAAGCGGCGATTCTGAAACCGTTGGAACGGCGATTGAGGAGAGGAAATCGAAGCGTGACGGAGTTGTTCGTCGGAGCATTGAGTTTGAACGAAGAAGGAAGGAAGAGAGAAGTTGCAGAAGCTGAAGCCGCAGCCATGGCGATCCACTTCACTTAGCCGAACGTGACAGTGACCGGAAAAACGTTGAAGCTTGTAATGGATGCGTCGCATGTGCCACGTGTGATGAAAATCGAGGTGGGTCCCACGTGGAAGAGGATTATTGGTTTTTGTGGTGCCACGTAAGCAACTCTTACTCGCCTTATCTTTGAGGTTTTGATATGAGTAATGGAATATTAATCGATAAAATATCTCTTGCATTTTGCATGGGGTGTGTTTTTTCCAGGGAAAATAAATTTTAAAATATGCAATATTTAGAATTATAAATAAATACGTATTATTAATTCAAAGATATATAACCTGTAAATAGTTCGTACTGAAGAATGAAATGATCAAATTTTAGAAAGTTTTTTTTTAAGTTGAAAGTGTGAGTAATATAAGAATTGAAACGAAAAGGAATATTTTTATATATTAATTTAAATAGAAATTTAATTTGAAGAGAATTATTTTTAATATAAACTTTTTAAAATGTTTAATAATTTAATGAAAATGACATGTGAAAGAAGTATAATATAATAATGAAATTAAAATAAAAAAAGTATTAAATCATCTAACAATTGAGTTGGATTTCATTTAAATTTGAGTTATAATTTTTAAAGACTTAAAAAATAATATTTTATAAGTGATAGTGTAATAATTCTCAACTATTTTAATATTAAAATATTTTAATATAAATAGTTTGGTAAGGAATTGATATTTATTATTTTAAAATATATTACTTTTTAAAAATAAATTTTCTAAAGTTTTCTGACTTCTCTTAAGGCTTCTTATTTCATGTTCATTTGTTTGAAGAATATTGTTGGCTGAATGATCTCGTAACAAGATCTCCAAGTTTAATCGATCAATTTCTCAGATAAAGTTGGTTTTTTTGTTCCTTTTCTTTGACCAGTTTTGTTTTCCTTACATGCTAGTTATCTTTGTTTTGCATGTGAAGTTTTAGTCTTCTATAAAATTATCTATTGATCAGTGGTCCTAACAATGTATCTTGATGGTGTTTATGTTATTTGTAGGAACATATAGGAATTTTTGTACGTTGGAACTATTTTAGGCTTTCTAGAACAATTTGGTAGGGAAACTAATATTTGCTATTTATGATAATAAGTATGTAAGTATGTTTGATAAATTATGATATGTATACTAGTTTGAAATTATTACAATTTGAGTGAATAATTGTCTATTGATGAATATTGTGGTATATGATTGTAATATGATGTTTCCTTGAACATGTTATGTTGTTGTTTTGAGCATATGTGTGATATAAATCTGTTATAGAGTTGGAAGTAGTGAAATAGAAATGTTGATAGGTGGTTTTTTGGTCTAAATTGAGGTTTTTGTAAGTGAATTCCTTAAGTCCCTGTTCACTTGAATGGATTTGAGGAAGAGTGATTGAATAGATTTGAAATTATTCGAAGGTAAATTTTTTGTTATTTATTTAAGTGAATTTTGGAGGTAAATGAAATTGGATTTGGAAGTAAAGTTTGTGAGAATTAGTGTAGAATTTGATTGATGTGATATATTAAAAAAAGGGTTAAATATGTTTTTAGTCCCTAAACTATTGGCCATTTCTGGTTTTCGTCCCTCTTTCAAAGTAAGGTATTTGTTGCTAAATGAGGACCAAATTTTTAAACAGTGTTTAGTTTTCGAGGACTAAAACGAATGTTTCGAAAAGAATGAGGACCAAATTGTACCTTACTTTGAAAGAGGGACGAAAACCAGAAACGGCCAATAGTTTAGGGACTAAAAACATATTTAACCCTTAAAACAATTTACTTTCAAATTTGTACTATACCTCAGTGACCGATCGACAAAGGAGAGAACCGTAGCCAAAATAGTCAACCGATCGTGTGTCCGGCGAGCGCAAACCAGAAAAGGTAGATATCATTAATGGTCAATTAATACGTTTAATGGTCATATTAAGGACAAATATACGGTATTTATGAGTGATTGACAGATTATATTGCCCAAAAATATACTACACTAATGGTTAATCAATGGACTTGGTTGCCACAAGTTCTATAAATATACAATTGGTATCCAGGTACAAATATCTTTGACTATCCTAATAAAATAGTGACCTTTTTATGAAACAAATCTGACTTGAGCGTTGGATTTTCCTCTGCAAGTCAACAACCTATCGGAATAGATTGTGTTCTCGAAAAAAATTGAAGATCGAAAAAGAGCATAGAAATGAATATTTTAAAGCAAAGGCTACATAACATGGGTCATCGTCTCGACGTGAAATATCATCAACAAGATAAGTATTTTTGAAATATGAATATTTCATTGAAGATAAAATAATGAAAAATCTGTCTGTATGTTATTTTATAGCATCGTTCGAGTTTTCCCACATGAAAGCAGCGTGAAGTCTCTCCGCCACCAAATTATATTCCTTCAACCATTCTTCCTCTCACTGTCTTTAATATTCCATGTGTGCATATATTATAGAATGGTGGGGTGACTTTATTTTCAGTGAAACTTGATTTAAAATTTTTATGCTGCATATAACAGCGTCACATGATTCCTTCATCATTTTATAATTTTCTAACCTTATTATGGTGTTTCCCTTCATTTATTAAATTTTATTTTAGACTTTGCATCATAATGATATAGTTCACAGAGTTACTCAACTATAATAGGCTCCAGAAACATCTTTATTTTGAACAACAACAAAATACTCATTTTTTATCTCAAGGAAGCAATATTCACTTTTCGTCTAGATTCTTTATCTGGTATATGATAAATCGCATCATGTTTTCAAGGCCACTTTGGTTTAACTTATGATTATTGACGTATCAGATATTTCTTGAAGCATTCTTTCAAAACATCACTGCTTAGTTGCCTTTGGTCAATATAATCACGTGACTTTTCCAGGAGGTTTGAAGAGGCAGGCTTAATCCAGATCACTCCCAAAGACCAAATACATCGTTGTCTTTTCCCGCCTCACCAAAACCACCCTTACCGAAAAGGGAATCATTTGATATGTCAACAACAATTACCCAGCGGCCCCTGAAATCCCCAAGGCTCCCGCCAGAAGGACATGGTCTCTCAAATCAATTATGCTCCTGCCACTGGAACTTGACCGCCAATGCCGCCAGGCCAAACCCCAGGGTTCCTACCACTACAGCTAGATCGACATAACTCGCACCCTCAAGATTGTTAACATCGTCAACAAGGATAACGACAAGTTTTGGTACACCATCAATGGTGTTTCACACAATGATAGCAAACCCCGCTCAAGATCGCCTCCTCTGCTGCCAGAGCCAAGTGGCTTTATCTCCTCAATAATGACCACCGTGTGACGATTTCAGTATCCTTGGTGGCGAGCATCGCCTCCGAAACTACCGCTCCGCCACCAGCGTCCTCGCCTTCAATCGCCCGTCTGTGTCTTCCTGCACCGTTGGGAGAACGCGCCACATCAAAACCTCCAATCTAATTTCATGGCAGCCTCTGTCCTAATCGTTGCAATTTACAATGAGCAGACACGACAACAAGCACAATCGAATGGGTGATGGCAAAGCTTCTTCAAAACCCAAGGGCTTCCAACCCCAAGCAAAGGGAGCAGCCTCCTCCTTCATCCTGTAACGTGTCGCTCCTGCGACTGGATTTCCACCACCGCCATCGAAGCACCGCGGTCCAACCAGGTGGAGGCCACTCTCGCCTACTCCACCGCGTCCTTAAGGAATCCAGTGACTTCGCCACTGTTGAAGAGTCTCCGATTGACATTCACCCTGCCGTCAATGGCACCATCAGGAGCGCCTTTTCCATGTGAGAGAATCGCGACTCCATCCTCATCACCGCCGATGCCTATAACTGAAGGGTCAGTGTCTTTCATGGTAGTTCAAACCTCTCGCCATCTCTTCCCCGCATGGGCTAAACCATAAAGACGCCGCCGGCGTACCCTAAAGACTAGCGGCCTTCGACTGTGACTTGACAGCCGTCATCCCATTGCTGCCTTTGCAACATTCTCTCGTAGAGAGCTGAGCCGCTCCTCGAAGGCTCCAACCAGATCCTCGCCATCGTCGACTCTCGTTAGGGCTTTGATGCAATCCATTAAGCTATAACCTGGTCGCAAGGACCATCATGAAATAGTCAAATGCGTTTTTACTACCAAAGCTCGTATTCAAGGTTGTTTGACAAAAAGTCATTCTGCAATATGCTTCTTAAAAGGAAAGGCGTACGAGGCTCTACAAAACCGTGCCCAAGCACACTTTGTATGTTATGAGTCGTCATTGCTCGAGAAAAAGGATGGTAGACCTATATCTTATGCAGGAACTTAACTCTTCAAAGTTTCGAAGAAACAATTGCAAAGTCAAAGAGGTCTACAGCGTATTACCTGATGGATTCGAATTTGTTTCTGTAGATATTTTTGGGACCGAGAGACTAACCTGCTGACGTGTCTGGGCCGCTCGCTCGCTTCCAAACTCCTGCTATTGGTCAATCGATGTTGGCACAAACCGATCGGTCTCCTTCTTGACGAGGGAGGATGTACCTGCAAAAGGTACTCCGACGCCCAAGTTAGGCGTGTGATTTGAAGAGCCTCGGCTCTTGGTTGAATATTTAGTGAATGATTATCACTATTGAGTATTTGAGAGTAACGTAGAGTAAATAATGCGTAAGTGGAACGTACCTGGCTTTTGGCCCTGGCTTTGTATTTATAATTTATCTCATGGATCCTGAGTTGATATAAGCCCAATAAAATATAAACAGAATAAGATATAAACAGATTACCTGAATATCCGGTTGGTTGTTTGTAACCACTCGGTTAATATTTTATACTATACAGAATTAATACCTCCGACAGGCTGGAATAAGCACAAACTGTCAAAGAATAGAAACCGATTATAATTTATAAATAACCTAAATGCTTATTTCGTCTCATGTTAAAAGGTGAATCTTTATTTAGTACAGTTTTAAAAATGCATCTATTGAGTCTCAAAATTGTAAAAGTTGTATAAATGAAGTCCCCTCCATTAAATTAGCTTAAACGGAGTTAACTCCGCACTGACGTGGCTATAAAATCTGAATTTTTTTCTTTCTTCTCTGTTGTTCTTCCTGTAATGCCCAATACTGACTTGTTGAATGGATGTTCTTGAATCGGATCAGCGCCAACCTCTTGCTCACACTTCGAACTCCCTCTGGCCAGCAACATGAGCTCATACGCATCCTCTTGCATTCGTGGCTTAATCTCATCACCTTCTTCCAAACCAGAATCTGATTTGCTGCAAGAAGTGCTTATTCGGCCCCTCTTGGAAATAATGGACCAACCCCTGAGAACTCGAGAGAGATCAACGGTCAAATCATCATAAAGGGTTGAGGAAGAAGTGGAATTGGAGGAGGCACCAATGATCGGAGCATTGCTTTGAATTCGCCTTCGTCGCCCATTTTACAGATCTCTCTGGTGCCACTAAAGTTGCCATGGAGAAAGGTGAGAGCTCCGCCTCCACATCGGAGCTAGACTCCGACGACAACCACCACACCTACCTCATCGGCCTTGGCCAATGCTCCTCCTTCCTCGCCTACCACATTCAGGATCCACCTAAAGCCGTGTGGTCCGCCGACTACCACTTCAACAAAGCCACAGATCTAAAGATCCCTTCCACCATGGTGGTAACGTTAAGGTCATATCTGGCCTCCCCTCCGCTGTGAAGGTCATATGTGGCCTCCCCTCCGTTCGTGCCTCCCTACATGGCTATGAGAACATGCTCAGCAAATCCAAAAACTATTAACATTATTATCTTTGAAATATTCACTATAGGGACATACACGACAACAAGCACAATCGAATGGGCGGTGACAGAACTTCTGCAAAACCTAAAGGTTTCAATGTAAGAGGAAGCGTCAGGGGAGTTAGGGTTTGGAAAGTACTGCGACGGGGAAAGGAGGGGATCGGAGTCTGCCAGGGTGGAGACAATAGGCGGCGAGAGCAGGTGGTGGTTCGATTCCGAGAAAGTGGTGAAGGCGCTGCGATAAACAGAGGAGAAGGTGGATTTTCCGGTGTCGTGGTCGTGGTCGTGTAGTGCGAGGTTTTCCATTTGGTCTGGCGACGCCAATAGAGGGTGGTCATCGACTATGTGGTTCTCGGAGCCCATCATTATGGTTATGAGAATCGCAATGGAGCTTGCAGTGAATCGGCGAAGCAAGCCCGATGAAGAAGACGTTAAGAGGTTAGATTAAAGAGAGGTTGAATTTGGGATTGGCATTAGGGATTTGATAGTGTCAGAGAGAGTGTGTGTGGGAGTGTGAGGTTCTGGCTAATGTGCGCTGGGAGGTGATGATTTGGAATGGTGAGGTTGAAGAAGACCATGCAGGGACCATAAGAGTGGCAAAACTGAGATTGAGAGTCACTGAAAATTGAAATCAATGGCAGGTATATTAAAAATGAGATTGGAAGAGAGAGAGAAAGCTGAACTTATGAGAGAAAGAGAAAAATTTGCAAGAGAAATATCACGCCACGTCGTATTTAACGCCGTTATTTTAAACTTAACGGAGAGGACCTTATTCATACAATTTTTATAACATAAGGATCCAATGTCTTCATTTTTAAAACCGGGTACTAAACAAAAATTCACCTCTTAACATGGTCACGAAGTAAGGATTTAAGCCTTTATAAATTATAAGCTTTTACTTTATTTTGTTTCGCACAAGAGGTTCAGACCTACGTTCAATCTTATCAGGAAGGTTCAGACCTACGTTCAACCTTATTAAATACAATCATACGTTCAAATAATGTCATCTCATTATAAATAAAATATTAAATATTTTATTTAACGCGTATTTTTGTGAGGTTGGTCAGTTGAACCACCAAATTTTAACCTTCTCAGGAAAAAGTTCTGGAAAAAGAACTCCTATCAACGTAGGAAAAGGTTCTCAAGCTCTTAAGCTTAAAAGGGAGTCCCTACCGTTCGTTTCTCAACATGGGAAAAAGCTCTGGGGCTATTAAGCTCAAAAGGGAGTCCCTCGATCATTGTCCAACGTAGGAAAAGGCTCTCGGGCTATTATGCTCAAAGGGAAGTCCCCACCGATCATTGTCCAACGTGGGAAAAGGCTCTCGGGCTATTAAGCTCAAAAGGGAGTCTCTACCGTCGCCCAACGTAGGAAAAGGATCTCGGCCTATTAAGTTCAAAAGGGAGTTCTTACCGCTCGTCGCTCAACGTAGGAAAAGGTTCTCGGGCTCTTAAGCTCAAAAGAGAATCCTTACCGCTCGGCCTAAAGAAAAAAGTTCAAAAAAGAACTTCTAGAGCCTCTGCTCAACATAGGAAAAGGTTCAAAAGCGAAATCACCTTGACTAGAGCGAAAAGAGGTTCAAAAGCGAACTCCTGCGTGGTGCCGCTCGGTGATTTAAAAGCGAAATCACCTCGACCAAGAACGGAATTACCTCCCATATAGCCTTTGACAATCACTCTTTCTCGCCAATTTAAATTTGTTCGGCTTATTTAAATCCCTTCGCACGTGCAAACAACTGCTCGGGGCTTGGGGGGCTTAATGTACTATACCCCAGTGACCGATCGGCAAAAGAGAGATCCGTAGCCAAAATAATCAACCGTCCGTCTGTCTGGCGAGCGCAAACCAGGAAAGGTAGATATCATTAATGGATAATTAATACGTTTAATGGTCATATTAAGGACGAATATACGGTATTTATGAGTGATTGACAGATTATATTGCCCAAAAATATACTACATTAATGGTTAATCAATGGACTTGATTACCACAAGTCCTATAGATATACATTTGGTATCAAGGTACAAATATCTTTGACTATCATAATAAAATAGTGACCTCTTTATGAAACATATCTGACTTGAGTGTCGGAGTTTCTTCTGCAAGTCAACAACTTATCAGAGTGGATTGCGTTCTCGAAGAGAATTGAAGATCGAAAAAGAGTAGAGAAATGAATGACGATCGACCCTTAGACAAATTCAATCGAAACAAAATTCACACTCACTTACCTTCAAAATCCACTCAAATAAACAACAAAAAATTTACCTTCAAATCCTCTCAAATTCATTCAATCACTCACCCCCAAATCCATTCAAGTAAACAAGGGCTAAAGAATGATTTTGGAACTAAGATAGATGGTCAAAAGTTGTCTTTAGATAATTATAAACTTATCTAGAACTTCAAATAATCATAAATATGATGATGAGTTGAAAAGTAGTAATATGGGAGTTTAGGTTGCTTTTAGGTCCATTTTAGGAGTTTTAACCGGTAAAATCTTGGACAAATGATTTTATAAGTAAAGTTGTTGTTTAGTGGTTACCTTGAGGTCATTTAGAACTTAATTGACTAGTTAGTACATTGAAAAACCTAGTTTAAAACATTATAGTTATGATTCATAAGTTGTGTAGTATCTAATTTAAGTTATAAACTTATTTTTGAATCCTTCAGAATGTCTAAAATGTCATTTTAATAATTTAAATAGGTATTCGAGGCAAAGTTAAATGTAAACAATAATATTCATATTCGAATTCAAATTGTTTCTTATTTTATTCATATTCAAATTCTTGAAACTTTCTTAATTAAAGTTTACACGATAACATTATTCTTTCTTTTTTTTTTTATAACAATGAAGATATTTATATAGGTAAAACATCAACAATATGGTATTTTAAGGAAAACATTTTAGTCTTTTTTTTTCTATTTATATAGGTAAAATAATGTGGTGTGATTTTTATTTAGTTATTTATTTTTACGAAAAAAATGTTTAAAACGAAAGTAATGTTTTGACGATTTCATTAAGTTACATTTATACTAATCTTATATATCAATTTTTTTATATAAAAAAATATATTTTTAAAATATATTTATACATTAACTTTAATTTTAAATTTCATTGATTTAGTAAACAGTCAATTTATTTCCACTATCTCAAATTGTTCTTATTTATCTTTATTTAAATACATAATTTTGTTTACCTTTTTTATCTTTCAATTTGGTTTTTATTTTTTAAATTAAGTTTTAATAACTTTAAAAAATAGTCAAAACGTTTATATATCTACGTCAAAACATTATACTTATACAATTTTAAAAAAAGTTTTTATTCTAGTTTTATTCGAATATAAATAATTTAAACATACTATTTAATAATTTCCCTCTCCTTTCACCCATTGATTATTCTCACACTGTTTCTCTCAACTTCAGACTCGTCCATTTTCATTCCAGTTTCCGCCATTTGTGTTTCTCTTCCTTATGGCCATGGCTCTGCACCTCTGTGTCACTTTCAATTCAACCACTTCCAGTTTTCCTCAAGGTTTTTTCATTGACTCGAACACTTTTCTGCATCGCATTTTTTCTCACAGTTTTAACTTACGCGCAAAATTTTCAGGTAGAAAATGCAAGTACGAAGGCCAATCAGTGGTATGAACCATCTCCCCCTCACAATTCACGCTTCAATTTCCTAAACCTAACTGCTTTACTTTCAATACGACCATCGATTGATAGTAATTGCCAAACAATTTTGTGCCATCGAAAAAAAGTACAAAAACTGTTAGGGTTTACGTTGGATTAGTTTGGGACAAACTTAGCAACGGTTTTTATTTTCTACATTATTAATCTACTCAATAAAGAAATTCATTAAATATGAATATACATTGGGGAAGTGAAACTCTAAATTTGATTAGAGAATGTTAGTTTATATACTATAGGCAACTACTGTCAACTTGTATAATCAGTCAAACTTGTACAACTGTAGGTTTCTTTCATTGTATATGTTATTTTCTCAGCTGCCAGTTTATAACAGCATCTTAGACATCCGTGTCAATACTCTTTTACATAACAATTAGTGAGATCAGTTAATAAAAATATTCTGTTCAATTTCAGTTTTTCCCTCTCTTTTCTCTGTTCATGTTCTTTAAGAGATAATATCAATAATAGTGTGCCTGCGGTTTTGCACTTACGCTTTTGTCCTTCAATTTATTGTTTGTGAAGGGATAAACTCTCAATTTAGTTCTTGAAACATAATGCTCTCTCCTAAATAGTCCTTAAAGGCTTCTAACTAATAAAATTATATAAGTGTGCTCCTAATGTATCAGAAATTATGTGTCTCCAATTATTAAAAATAATCTTCAAATTAATCCCCTCTGTTAGTACAATGTGTTAACTTAGGGCTTTAATTGATGGATATCCAATACGTTATGGAGTATTTATATACTTTGATTAGTCAAGGAGTATTTAGGAGAGGAGTGATAATTGAGGAAATAAATTGACGGTTTATTAGCTTGTGAAAACAGTGCTAAAAAGACTTGTGGAGGGTTTATCTTTTTATCTCTAATGTATATTACTACAAATGGTGAAAGCTATTTCCTATGAGATGTGGGCTGCCACATTGATGTCCAGTCCAGTCAATATCCCGTAAATGAGATAGGATCTCTCTAAGTTGATGTTGGACGTGTGGGTGTTGGGGTTCAAGTTGGAGAAAGAGAATGAACTGCACATCTGAAGAGGGGTGGTGCTTCCAGAGGATACAGACTGACGTGCCATTGGATTCCCAATTGGTAGCCGTACCTAGGGATACAAAGAGTAGAGGCAATCTGGTCATGATCTGGATGGTCATTCATGAAAGTACCAAGAAGACTATTTTGGTTGAAAGGAAAGGTGGGAATCCTCATAAAGGTGTTCAGTGTTTTCCTGTCAAATTGGATGATCTTCCCCTGCACCTTGGCATGCTGCCCTCCAAGTCATAAACATTTGCATAGAACTCTTTCACCCGCACCTCATCAATGTCCTTAGGGAGGTCCCGGACGAGGTCCCACATAAAACTCTCATATAAACATGATTAAATACCCATATTTGTGTATTAGGGTTGACATTCTTGCCTAGCAAGGCCTAAAAATTGATGTTTTTTGACTTGTAACTTGTTAGGCAAGCCATATTTTCATCTAACGACTTGAATACTACAAGTTTGGACTATCATTTCCGTCCAGCGAGCAGCTAGCTCGCCCAACGACTTAGCCTAGCGCCCAGTGGTGGTTTTTTGGTCGTTCAGGGTGATCCATGGCAATATAACCTTATAGGTGAGTCGTTTCTTCATGTTTGCAGCGCCGAGAGCGATTCTAGTGCCCCCGGTGTGGGTATTTGTCTAAAAATCATTCTTTCTTGTCCAATCATGTTTCCTTGAATTCCAGCTTGTGTTATTTCTTGCTTATTTCACACACTCAAAATAGATATTAGAGGTAAACAAGCATAAAACAACTGAAGTACAAAACAATGCAAAAACAAGACAAACTTGAGGATTAAACAAGATAAAAACTATGGAGAAGTTGATTTTATTCAGAAAACTTAACACCAATAAAAGGTAGAAAATAACATTATCATGTTCTAAGATGGGGTTGCTCAATATACATTCCCATATTGTGTGTGTGTGTGTATATCATTTAACAGGGTTTTGTTATTTCCCTATTATCATTTTGTTAAGATTCCACTATGCTTGTCACTTGTTTATGTGTGTGTGTGTGTATCATAATAAAGTGGGACAATTTTTTGTTGTTCTCTCTCTTTTTTTCGAGGTGCTCATTCTTTTATGAAGCTTTCATTTAGACTTGAATAGTAATTCTCTAGGTGAGGCTGTGTCGACAACTTCATTTTCTCATTGGTGTGTTGTTTAGTAGTACTAGAGTGTCTCTTAGTTATACTGATTTAAGGAAAAACAAAAAAAAACTATGTTATATCTACTTATTAATTTTGAATTTATAAATTGAGTTTGAGTGTAGAGAGCACTTCCTATACGTATATTATCAGTGGGGAAGAAGCGATCACCCGGACTTCAACTCATGGTTGATGAGTATGTTGATAAGCTCGGGTACTATTGCAGTGTTGAGGACGTTCAAATTCGGACAAATCCTCGAAATGCACGGTAAGTTCAGTTCACTGAGTTAGTTTTATTTGAACACAGTTTCATTTTTGTCATGCTTTGGGTGGTGAATGTGAGTACCAAATTAGTATTGTGAATGTGTGAGTGTGTGTATGCTAGATAGTACCTGTAAGTTTTAGTTACAAATAGTTGTACTGAGGAATTTTTGTTGTGTTGTCTAATAGAAAGGATGGATCATTTGTTTACCTTATAGTGACCAAAGGGCTCAGGTTGATGCTGAAGATGAGGCAGTAATGAACCTTATAAGGTCTGATGATTGGGTATAGTCTCCAACATGCATCAATTTGAATTACAGTAGTAAAAAATTTGTTGTCCTTATTTTTACTTTTAAGTATGCTGTTTTGTTGAGATGAGAAAGTTAGTGCAATAAAGGATCTGCATTGGCGTTTAGAAATGAATAATGTTGCTTGGTGCATGCTTATACAGCTATAGCTTATACGAGTTAGATATAATTATAGTCTTTAAAATTAAAAACAAATCACAGTTTTAGGGACTAAAAACAATTTAAACTAAGTTATAGTAATGCTTCCATTTGTTCTGTTGTTTCTTTGAATTGTTTGAATTTTTCTCCTTCTTTACCACACTTTCCTGAAGGCAAACAGATCTGATCTCTATTTGAAGCCTTCTTTATCCTTGCCAAAGCTTCGTAACACAATTTGTTGTGTTTCTATGCTCTGGTTGTCTTATGTTGCTGGAATAGTGGTCTCTAATTGGGCACATTAGTGCCAATTCTGTATCTTGTTTTGGTTGCTAACAGTCTTAATGTACTTACCCATGGTATTGGAGCTAAAATTGGGTTCCTTTTCTTCCCAGGAATATTTTCCACCGCATAGTCTACTACACTCACTTTTAACTTAATCCAATCCATCATTCTATCCATTAAGATTTATGTCATGTTTTAATTGCCCAGATTGACATTGTTCAAATTTCTGCGAACACTGTAACAGTGTCTACATTAAATTCTTGCTTGAAACTCAAAACCCACTTTATTTGCAACTCATATTTTTCATCATATAGGGCATGTTTGGTTTAACTTATTTTAAAGAAACAATAGATTACTATGACTAGCTTTCCAAGAGAGCTTCTGAAAAGTGATCATGTCATCAGAATTCATTTAACCCAACATGCTAAAGCGTGCCAGTTACAGAATTTTAGATCTTTGTTTTATCAGAAAGAATCTGTTTTTTCTTCTCCTAATTTGGTTTTATCGGTCATGTACCTGCTCGTATAGGTTGTGATGTTGGATGAACGTGGGCTAGACATAGGATCTGAGCAAATGGCAGAGTTGGTGGGTGATGCAGGAAATACTGTAAGAACATTTTGTAATTGATCTCTGCCGTACATTGAAATTTGTTCAATTATGGGATTGGTTAAGTATGCTGGCTGGCACTATGATGAAATAAAGCATTATAAGTTATCAATCATGTAACAGACCATTGATATCCTGTCTATATCTACATTGAATACCTCAATTCTGTTAATTGTTATAGTGAAATAATACGGTTCATATTTATCACTCTTGGTAGTGCTTATATCAATCATTTTGGTGTATTTCTATCTTTCACGACCTTAGTTGATTGTGAATTGACTTCTCACTAAAACATTTTAATAGCCACCAAAGTTATCAAATCCACTTTTGATCTTTTTTGTAAACTTGCAGGTCACGAAAGCCTTATAATTTGAATTTTGTCCTGTTGTGAAAAACCGTCATCTCAAGCTGGCCAAAATGGCCTCTCAGTTTTGAACTCCGGAAGTGTGATTTCTAGGCCTTTAATGCAACGCAAGTTCGTATTTAATCTTATTTAGTATTAAATGCTTCTCAAAAGTAGTATCACTAGTTTTTGTGTTTTTACTTTTCCAGTTTACTGCGTTGTTTGGATTTCTTTTTCAAGCCAAATCTGTTTTATATATGTTTGTGTGCATGGCGTCTATGTACATTCTCTTGTGATTTTCATTCATGCTATAGTTAGTTTGTTCTTTTTAATATGAAGATACCTTTGAGCAAAAATTTAATGTTAAATAAAAAATATATTCATTAATTTCTGCTTTCTTAAAGGGTGCTTCACGGATATCTTTTTGTATTGGTGGTCCTTATGGTCATGGAAGAAAAATAAAGGAACGGGCTAACTTATCAATCAAGTTATCTTCACTGGTCTTAAATCACCAAATAGCATTACTTGTACTCATGGAACAGCTTTACAGGTATCTATACGTTAATCTCTTAATATTATATTCTAAATTTTTTAATGTTGGACTAATTATACTAAAGTTGTAGCACTAGGTCTTCATAATTATCTAAATGAATTGATCATATTCTATGTCGCTAACATCAATATTTGACTTGTAGGTCTTGGACAATTTTAAAAGGACAAAAGTACCACCATTAGATATCCTTCTTAATCTTCGTATCTATATGTCTGTTATGACCAATCGAGCTTTCCTCTGAACCTTTTATCTCTTGTCTTCTATTTAACATAATTTCCTTTTTTGAATTTTGGGTGAAAGACCGAGTTGTCTTGTTATGTGTGGTTGAATTTGATTATATAAGTGTGTATACGAAGTGACGAGAAAAATTGGTAGGTGGTGGTTGTTTTTTTTTGTTTAACTTGTTCTATTATTAAAGCGGAAGGGTGTTTCAGTTAGAATTATTCTAAAATCAATCGTGTCACAGTAGAAGAAATTGTGTTTAAAGTTATCACATACTTTATCTAGAGGTTAAATTGTTCGAATTTGCTTTGGAAGTTTTCCCAATTAGAATATGACATTACTCTTTTGGCATATGACCCTATCCTTTTTGGAAAAACTTCGATACTATATTTAAACTCTAATGTTATAGTTATGAGTAGAAAATTAGTATAGGGGTAGTTGCTACCACAACACATGAATGCACACTACCACTTCAAATTATATATTCTTATATCACGAGGTCTCACTCAAACTATTTCCATTGACATCCTTCACTTGTCAAACGACAAAATGGATGTACATTTAAAAAAATTAAACACATCATGTATGGATGCACGCATTACCAAAATTATTAAGATTGTGTTTGGATGAGGAAATTTAAAATGATAATTCATTTATTTGAAAATTTTAAAAGTTTTTATACTAAAATATTGTTTGGATAAAATAAATAGAAAAAAAATTGAAATTTAAGAAATTTTAGAAGGTATTTTAAATGTATAAAATAAAATAATTTCAAATTCTTTAAAAAATATAAAAGAATTGAAATTTCATCCATTTTCACATCACTTATGAAGGTTAAGTCGAGTCACCTCAGATTGAAGACTCAATTAAGTAGGTTCGGGTCGAAGGATCAGTTGAGTTGACTTGAGTTAAATACTTAGTTGAGTTAGCTCAAACATAAAGTTAAGTCGGTTTGAGTCAATGATCAAGATGATTTGATGTAGCCTATAGGTTGAGTTGATTTTGTGCAAGCCAAAAGGTTTAGTTAATTTGTCCTAAAATGATGACAAGTTGAGTCGGTCGTGATCGAAGGTTGAGTTAATTCATCTTAGGATGAATGATGAATTAAGTCAATCTAGTTGAAGGTCGATATAGATTGAAAGTTGATACTAACTGGATAAGTTAAAGGTTAAGACGAGTCGATTCAAACCAAAGGTGTAGGCAAAACAATCGAGTTAAAGATTCAGACAAGTTGGTATAGGTCGAAGGTCAAGACAAGTTGGTGCATGTCAAAGGTTAAGCTAGTTTGACACAAACTAAAGATTGAGTTAATTTGACTTGCACCGAAGGTCAAGACAGACAAGTCGGCCTAAGTCAAAGGTTAAGAAAAGTCAGTCCACGTTAAAAGTAGAGTAGAGTCCGTCTGAGTTGAAAGTCAAGTTGAATCGACTTGGGCTTAAGATTGAGTTGGTCATGGTAAAAAGTTGAAATGAGTCAGCTTGGGTCAAAGGTTAAGACAAGTTGTCTCAGGCTTAAGGTTGAGGTAAGTTATCCCGAGATGAAGGTCGAACTAAGTCAAGCCACACTAAAGGGTAAAGTTGAGTTATCCAAATATTTTTAAAATATATTTTTTCCTTAAAAAAGAAATTAAATTGTTTTGTCCAAATAAGAAAATTGAATTCTAACATATTTTGACCTACAAGTCTATTGAGATAATATAGTTATAGTCAATTATTACATTCAATATAGTGTCCACTTTAGAGCTTGGAATTCTGTCATAGTTTAATCCTTAAAAGGTGCCTCATTGCATTGACCAAGTGGATCTTCCCTTGTTTCTCTTTGAAGTGCAATAGTTTTCAACTTGACTTTTGAGAGCCTTATACTTTGCCTTAAAGACTCTTCAATGCTTAACTCAATAAGAGAAATGATTTGTACAATGATAATTAAGGGTATAAAGTATGAATTGAGTACTCCCTATGATAAGAAGTTATATTTATAGGCTTCCTAGACCATGAATAAATAAATATATTAAATAGTGTTGTCAAAACGGGTCATCTGGCCCGACCCGACCCAACCCATCACAGATTGGTTACTTAGTGAGTCAACCTAACTCAACTTACTTATTAGCGAGTAGAACAAATTCGAACCCGACTCAGCCCACCATAGGTTGGTGGATTAAACGAATTGGCCCACTAACTAACTTAATTATAAGTTTTTTTTAAATTAAAAAAATTATAATTTTTTTATAATTCAAATCTAAATAAATTTCACTCTAAGATGATATTAAACTCCAAAGACAATTCAAAATATAAAAAAAAGTAACATACAACTCAAATGTAATCCAAAAGCAAACTCAAAAAGCGAATAAATAAGTTTCTAATATTGATATTTTTGTGTTACTTATCCATTTAAAAGATTAGAGCCTTGAATGGATAAAACTATAATATTTTGCTCTCTTGAAACATCTTCTTCTTTATCCTTATTTACAATACAATAAAAAAAATTTAACTAATAATATTGAAACAAAAAATAATAAACAAATAAATTAAACTAAGTGGTTTGGTGAGCCAACCCAGCTCACCATGGATTCAACCCGAGTGAGTCGGGTTGAAAATTGACTCGTATAAAAAAATATTCTTTTTTCAAACCCAACCCGATTCGAACATGTGGTGGACTGGTTTGGTCCGTGAGTTCTAACCCATTTTGACAGCACTAATATTAAACAAATTGTATTATTTGAAGATAATTAAGTATTATATCTTGAAGGCATTAAATAATCAATTATTATATATAATATCTTTGGATAATAAAGTATTATATCATAATATCTTAGAGATAGAATAGAATATCATAAGTTATTATATAATGAGATATTATTTGTCGATAATTCTTGTCGGTAAATTTTGTTGTTAAACTGGGTAATAAAGTTCCTGTCTTAACTTTGATCATGTCCTGGTAAAATTTGTCGGTAATAATATTTTTTAAAATTCGTTGATAAATCTATTGATAATTGAATTTTTTGAAAATTCATCGATGAATTCCTTTTTAATTATTTTTTTGAAAATATTTAGTAAATCCATTCATTATTGTATTTTTTAAAATTCGTCCATAATTTTGATAGGTGCTAATTTTTTTTTGTCAAATTTAGTGAAATATTTGTTATAAATTAAACGGAGATGAGTAAGAGAAAAATAGAATAAGGAAAAAAGAAGAAGAGTACGAGGAGGAGAATAGGAGAAGGCGGTAATAGAGCTACAATGGTGTGAGCAATAAATATGGCTGTAACGGTGGACACCATGTAAGATCCGAGGATTTTAATATCGGTATAGGTATTGTAAATATAAAATAAAATAAAATAAGAATTTGTGGAGTTAAAATGGAAATAGATGAAACATGATGAGTTAAATAGATATTAAACGACTATTATGTCAGTGAAATGAGCTAGAATAATAGGTATACGCTTGGGATGTTTAAAGGGTTAAATTGGGTTGTATGAATTCTTTTTGAATTAGTGCATATTGAAATTGAATGGTTTTGTTATAATCTGGAAATTTGTGTACCTTGGATGAAGGTTGTGGTTGTTTCTGGTTTCATTGAAATATGAAAAGTGTTGGGTATTACTAGTAGGTTATCTTTGGTATTAATAAAATGATGGGTAATTTTATGGTTTGGATTCATTTATTTAATCTGCTGTAGAACAATGATTGTGGGGAGCTAAATCTCTTCGAAATGCAATTTGTGATTGTTAAAAGAATTGTGAAATGGTATCCTTATCAATTTGGTTGAATTGAAATGACTTGGTTGAATGAGTGAATGAATTGTTATACCCTAATGAACATTCAATTTAATGAGTTTGTGTGTGAACAATGTGAAAGACTACATAATAAGTTGTGTATAATTGTGTGGATAAATTTTATTAACCTTATCATCTTGTGATTCTTGGTTAAACCATTGTCTGGGTACGTTTTTTATATAATGTGATTGTGATTATATTAAAATCTTGAAAGAATTATAATGAACAAAAGGATGATGTGTTATTGGTTCTATGGTTGATAGATTCAAATGTGTATAGCTATAAATATATAACTTGAACAATGTAAATGTATTTAACTTAGCTAATTTTCTAATCTCGAGAATGCATGAATTATATAAGAAGTTGTATTAATTGTATGTGCTCATTGGTATGTCTTGTTTGTTTTAATAGAGAAGAAACTAAATGTGATCGATAATATTTTGTAAATGGGCAATTAAAGTAGTATGAATAGTGAGGATTCATGGGAAGAATTGTCCGATATTCTGTATGGTCATATTGGGTTACTCTATTTTACTGAATCATTCATAGGTATTACTGGGGTATTGCATTTGATTAAAATATTGTTGTTGTCCAGAATTTTATTATGCTGTTGTTGTTTAAATTTTATGCAGTTGCTGTATCAGAATTCTGCACTTTCTGTCATTATTGTTTGCTGTTTTTAGCACTGATTGCTTGCTGTTTTTTGTATTGTTGCTGGCTTTTCAACATTATTTCCTTGTTTTATACCAGTAAATTTTGTTGTATGGGACTGTTGTGATTGTTGTTGCCATGTTAAAATCTTTGTTGTATTGGGTTGTTTTGACTGTTGTAATGTAGTAACATCCTAGTTGTTTTGATTGTTGTTACTGCATTAAAATTCTTGTTGCATTAGGCTGTTCTGACTGTTGTGTCTGCACTAAAACTTGTTGTTTTGTAACTTTATTGGGCTGTTTTACCAATATTAAAGCACTTCTGTTTTGAGCTGGTTGAATCATGGTTGGTGTAGGAATCGAGATTGTATGGTTTATACATTCATGCTTTTGCCAGATTATCGTTGCTTGTTTATTCCTATTATATAATATTTATGTCAGTTGGATGTCTAGCTCACTCATATATTGTTTGTGTTGTTTATGTTTGTGACGATGACCGTATAATATATATGTTATGCGAGAGTTCAAATAAGAATGCAGATGCTGATGGAGCTATATGATTGATGATAGAGGGGTATTATGGGAGTTTGGTTTCAAAGTTTTATTTAATTATGAAAAGGATTTGTAATACTTTCTTTATTTTCTTGTTGGACTAAAAGAAATTTCTATTTTCATTTGTAATAACTTTAAGTTTTTGGAAAATTTAATTATATTGCAAAATTCTAAGATTTTACTCTAGACTTTGATGCACTTAAGTGACTCCCAGTTTTGAGACGTTACACATGACAACGATGGAAGACAACGACAGAGGAGGAGAAAAAAAAAATATTGAAGAAAAGAAAAATAAAGAAGAAGACTAGTTATATTTACTAACGAATTTTACCGACGAAAACAATTCATCATTAAATTTCGACAAATTTTATCAACAGACAAGTTTTAATTATTTATAATTAGTTATATATTTTTGTCATCATTATAGCTAAATTTTCTTAATTGTCAATAACATTTATCAATAAATATTTACTGTTAATAAATCGAAAGTAATTTTATTTAATAATATATTTTTATGATTTTGGTGAATTTTATCTGCTAAATTTTCTTGTAATATTTAAATTAATCATATTTAATACTTAAATCACATCAACTTTTTAAATTATTTATTCTAGTTGATTTGACAATAACTCTTTACAAACTATTTTATAAATAATGATCGGTAAAAATTTTGCCATCAACATGAAAACAAATTATTTTTTTAAAACGTTAAGGATTTGAAATAAATTATTTTAAGTTTGCACATTGTTTTGGTAGATATTTTGTGGGACCGACGTACTTTTCTGACGTGTCTTCCTTGCTTCCGAATGCTTGGATTGCCTTGATCGCCTGTCTTCCTTCAGTCTGAGTCGCTCGCTCTTATCCGACTACTCGATCTTCAGTGGGAGCCGTACGGTTGCCTTCTTGACAGAGGGGGGAGGTACCTGCAAAAGGCACTCCGACACCCAAGTTAGGCGTGTGATTTGAGTTGAGTGTGAGTACAACGTAACGTAAGTGGAACGTACATGACTTTTAGCCTTGGCCTGTATTTATAGATTATCACAAGCCTAATAAAATATCTTTGCTCATAAACAACGTTATAAATATCTTTAATCAGATATCTTTGATTATTTTAATTTATGCTGGGCCTTTGGCCTAATAACAATTAAAGCATTGGTCCAAATACCATTTGAAACAGTTGATTAGCGCTACGGACCCAATTACGGCTCAATGTCTTTGTAAACCATTTGACCAGGTTGACTAGATGGACCGAACGATCCTGAGTGAATAGACCGAACGGTGTTGAATGTTAACCGCTCGGTCTTTACTAGTTACTATAAAGATCATTGAAGTATTTTCACAAATGATTTGAAGGTATGTTATGGATTGACATTATGTAAAATAATCCAATCCACTGTTAGAATTGAAAAACAAAAACCCCCACCCGATTAAATATTAATAAAAAACGAAATAAGAATCAGTAAAAGAAGAAAAATGAACACGAGTTAGAGAAATGACTAACAAGAAGAAAGGAAAAAAGTGAATAAAATACCAAACTTTGCATACATTTTCCAAAAATGTAGGAAGTTCTTTCATGAAGTTTTATTAAAGAAAGAACGTAAAAATGAAGAAACTTAGACTGATATTAAATGAAATACATTGTTATACTCTTCCTCTTATTTTCCTTTCCTCGTTGATTTTATTTTTCTCTTTATTTATTTATTTATTTTTATTTCATACAAAAATTTCACCTCCCATAAAAGAGAAGCAACAATGTGGATGAGTTTGCTTAATGTAATGGATAAGTCAACAATAACCAATAAAAAATATTATTATTTTATTAATAGTTGAAATATTACGTGAAACTTGTCTACTCTACCGTAGATAATTTAAAAAAAAAACTATATAAAATTCATCCAAAGTGAATCTACTTCGATTACCTCTTTTGACACCACATGATTTGACATCACCCTGCACCATTTTGGAATCTTTCATTACAAGGATTTTTTTTCTTAAATACAAAACAATTTTTTTATAATTTATTTTTTATTAATTAAATAATTATAAATTTTAAATCTAATTTTTTCTTAACTTTTCCATAATTCTAATAGTAATGTCTAAGATACAGTAATTAACGGTTGACCGGTAGTGTTAGGTCCCAACTACATCATAAGTGTCATAAAACCATTCGCAGAGCGTGAAGTCCAACGCGCGTGGCATCGCGTGCACCAGCAGTTATCGATAAACCAAAACCCCAAAAATTTGAATAACCCTCTCTGCCTTCTCCTTCTTCTTCCTCTCCCCCACTTCATAAGTCCACCCTCACCCTCTTACGCGCGCAAGATCTCAAGCGCCGAACATTCTAGAACCCTTTCAGATCGAACACCGTCTTCCATCTTCATTCTCTTCTGTTCTTCTGGTAACTGATTCGAACGGAGCGCTGAGAGTGATGGGGGATGAGAAAGCTGAGAAGAAAGAAAGTAGTGCGGTGAAGGAGAATATCGAGAACAATGGGGAGAAGACGAAGGAAGAGAAGAAGACAAAGAAGAAGGGGTTTATTTCGCGAATATGGAACGCGATATTCAGGTCCAACAACGACGATTTCGAGAAGAGGCTTCAGTATATCACCAAAGAAGAAAACGCCGTCGTTGTGAGATTGAGCAACAGATCTCGCTCTTGGAGGCGAACCTCTCGCCAGCTTATTTTATTTTCCGTTCTGTTCGAGGTAATTTTTCGTTTTGCTCTGAACTTGCTTGGCCACTGTGGGGAGAGTAGAAACAGTAGATATATAGATGTGAGGTTTTGAATTGTGGTTGTGGAGTCTCTGATGATGACATTGACATGGTTGGAATTGCTTTTGAGATGTGCTTTTGGAGGCTTCGGACATTTTTTATGTTGTGGAGACTTTTTGATGCTGCTGGAAATTGCTCTTGGGATGTGGAGACTTCAAAACCTTGATGTTGTGGAGGGTCCATAAACCTTGACATTGCGAGAATTCGTGGCTGCAATTTTGGTTGCTATTGCGGTTGTGATATGGTTTTGGAGACTTCCAAGATTTGATGTTGTGGAGACTTCAAAGACCTCGACGTTGTGAACAATAGTGGCTGCAATTGCGTTTTTTAAAGAGTGGAGAATTTAAATCCTTGGATATGTGAAGGAAAGTAAGCATGGGCTTATTTTCGTTTTTTGAAGAAAAGAACAACATTTTTCTTTAAATTTTTTTTGAAAGATTTAAGTGATGAATTTATTCGTTCGATGACATTGAAGGTTGTTGGTGTTTTAGTGTTTTTTTTTGTTTTTTTTTTTGTGGACAATGGGTGGATTGGATGAGATTATGGGATGATTTTGGCTGAATCGGGGTTAAAAAATAGTGATCTGTATTTGGGAATGGTCTTAGTAGGTACTCGGGTATTATGAGATGCCTAAGTTCCACATAGTAAGATGAGATTCTCCGTGTGGTATTTAATTTCTCCCTTATTAGCTAACTTTTCAAAGTGGGTTCTCCGAATTCTTTAGTGTTTATCAATTGGTATGAGTTATTGGTGTCTCGAAAAGGAATACTTGCAGATCGTATTCAAGTGCTCTCCCCCTTTAATAGCTAGCTGTTGAGAGCGGGTTCTCCAAATTCTGGGGTGCTTATCACGTCTTTTTGAAGTTAGTTTGGATAAGAAAGTAGAACCATTTTGGACTGTTAGTGTAGATTTAGTTTGGATTATGCCATAGATTATATTAAAGGAAATGAACATGAAATAGATCCGAGGTGTTTGATAATGACTCTATCTTCTATATAGGATAATGACAATGGGGAATTGCCTCAAATTTTAAAATTTATCCACTGGCATTATCCTTATATTTTTGAGTGTGTAAAATTAAATGGATTTTACTTAAAATCGTTTTCAACTTTCAGGTCATTGCTGTAGGTTATGCTATTATGACGACAAGATCAATGGATATGAATTGGAAAATGCGGGCAATTCGAGTGTTGCCAATGTTTCTTTTGCCTGCCTTATCAACTGCTACATATTCAACATTTGTCAGCTTCACAAGGATGTGTGAGTTCCAAACTCATATATATCTCATTCTTTTGCACGAAGTTTTTTTTTTTGGAAGTTTTAGCACCATTTATTTATCTGTTCTACTGAATATTCCGCTGACTTCTAGGCCAATATAACCTTAATTTAGTGTCCTGATTTTTTTTCAAATTTATGCTCATCAATTGTTCTAGTCTTCCATATATGGTTTATAGTTGGAAGGTTTTCACTCCATCACCTTTATTAACAACCTCTAAGTGAGTGAAAAAGTCTATATTTAATACTCAGATGAATGAATGCTTTTTATAAAAATAATTTCTCCGGTATAGTTTTGCAGCAAGTGTTGATAAAAAAAAAATGCTTGATCTTAACATATGTTTACATAAGTAGAAGTAGAAGGTCCTCAAGATCACAAGCAATCTTTGTACAAATACCGGAAATGAAATTCTTAGGTGAACATGGAGCAGCGTTTATTATACATTTGGTACCATCATTCATAAGTTGTGAAGGCTACTACTGATAACCATCGTCATTTAATTTGTAACATTAGATTCCAATTTAATGGTGGGGTTTTTGAACTTGAAGCTAGTTTTTAGAGTTTGAAATGCCAAGTGCAAATAATATTAGTTTAATTTTAAATAGAAATATGTAATTTTATAGGTGATCGCAAGGACCAGAAAATTCTTGAAAGGCTTAGAGCTGAAAGGAAAGCGAAAATTGATGAGCTCAAAGAGAAGACAAACTATTACATTACTCAGCAACTCATTCAGGTAATTGTTTAAAGCAATTATTGGTACATAGGTTTCAGTATTACCTCTGTTCCTTGTCACTCAGAGCAGACAATATACTGGGGTTGTTTTCTTTCATGCTTTATTTGGTGCATACAATGTAGTATCTTTAGTGCAAGTAAATCCTAATTTTTACTTGGTGTTCACACACCGCACTTCATAGTATAGTCAAATCCAGTCAAACAAATTGAAACCTGTTACAAGTCATAATCATAGCCGCAGCACTTGATATCACCTAATAAGAACAAAATTGGCCTCCTTTCTTGCACTAGCGTGACCAACTGCTACTGAAACTAACGTGCCAATGCCATCACCCCCACACAATTAGTATCAGATGAGCCTTCAAGAAATATGGCGCCTAAAATGAAGGCTTTTTATATCCCAAACATAATATAAACCTAATCAGACAGAAAAAAAAATCCCAAAAGAAACTCTTTTGAAAGATAAGACAATCTCTAAATTGCATAAGTAGGACAGTTATTTCAAAAAGTAACACATAATTAATAAATATTTTAGATAAGGTAATTGAATCATATATTCTATTAGAGCCAAGAAGGGTAATTTTTTTTGGAAGTGTTGTCAGATTATATTTTGCTTGACAACAAACATAGTCGGTTAGCATCACGCTATCCTGTTACTCATGCAACTGGGTAACATTGATTGTATAAGAGCTAAGCCTCTTTATACTCAGGCCGTATCCATTATCTGTAAAATAGATAAAGTTTTACATAATAAACAGTCACTTTGAGAGTTATCGCGTCCATTATGTTATTTGTTAACATTGAGAACCTTTGCCTTGGGGAAGTAAACGAATCGCATGTGATATGACCAATTAAACACGACTACTGTCTTTTGTATGTGTTCCTGTGCTTTCAAGTGTATTATTAAAAGTCAACTTGATCTATATGTTTGCAAAGAATTTAATATTATTGTGTATTATACTTGTCTCCTGTGATCCACAGAGATATGACACGGATCCAACAGCAAAAGCAGCAGCTGCAACTGTTTTAGCATCTAAGTTGGGTTCAGATTCTGGTTTGAACGTGTATGTGGAAGATGAATCTTCTGCTGCTCCTACTGGGAAGACCAAGGATGTTGAAGTTGTGCAGTCAAGTGGTCTTCGAAATCGCAAGCAAGTGAACTCTAGATCCATTAGTCCGGGGACAAAGACAACAAATTATTCTGATGAACAATTAGTTGGTTCTGGGAAAATTAATCAAACTCAAACTCCTGAGCATAATGAGCTTGTAGTTGTTGAACATCATCCTCAAAGTTCAGCAATGAATGATGGAGGATGGATTGCTCGAATTGCAGCATTGCTTGTGGGTGAGGATCCAACCCAGTCTTATGCACTCATATGTGGTAATTGCCATATGCATAATGGTAAGTCGACTGCCTTCAATGTTGTAGGATTTTTTCATACACATGCACTGACACACGATCACACAATACAAAGTAATCGCTAATTTTCATTTTTGAATTATAAAGTGTGTTTTTATCCTCCGATTTCCTTTCAGGCCTTTCTCGGAAGGAGGATTTCCCATTCATTACTTATTACTGCCCACACTGTCACGCCTTGAACAAACCAAAGCATTCGGATGAGCATATATCTCTACCAAACACCGATTCTCCAAAAGCAGATGATGGCAAAGAACTCCAAAAAGCTGGTGCTTCTGACAGCTTAATCGCAAGCGATAATCCTGTAAAAGCGACCCCTGAGATTGAGGAAGTGGCTGACCGGGCTATTTCAGGTGATGAAAGCTAGTTAAATGAGAAGCCTCTTTTTGGGAATGGACTATTTGAATGACATGTCTTGCCCTTTGTTTCGTGTCAAGGTCCAACTATTAAGGTAAACAACTTTGCAGTCTGTTTCCTTGTTGATGTTGTAACAGGAAGAGTTTTTTTGATATGTTACTTTGAAACATGCAATTTATAAATTATAATACATAAAGTACATGGCTTTTTGTCAATTAAGGAAATTTTAGAATTTTGATATATTTTTTCCTTTTCTTTTGTTAGGATACTCAATTTTAAAATCGGACTGTATACCCAAGAGACTTGAAAACAACTTCGCAGTTGGTTTGCTTACTGTTGTAACAAGGAGAGTTTTAATATATTGCTTTGAAACTTGTGGTTTACAAATTATAGTTCACAGATTACATCTCTTGCTTTTGAGTTAAGGCAATTTTTGTGATTTCCATATATTTCCCCTCTCTCTTGGAATAGTTCTATAGGTGAAAGAAAAAGCAATAAGAAAATTTCATAAATTGGGTAAGTGTGGATGATTTTAGTGTGAAATATATTTCATAGACATGGTAACTTTGTAATACATATGTTATGACTAATGAAAAATAGTTCTCTCTTTATTCTTTTTGCAATTTTAATTTATGTTTATCTTTAGTTTTACGTTATTGTTGTTTAATCATTCAAAAGCATTTTCCTTTACTGCATTTTCAAATTATCCTGGTTGGTTCATTCTGCATTTCTGTCTTTTGTTAAATTTTCATGTCCTATTCATTTTAATCTTTGAGAACCATTTTCAACTGTTTGGTTTCATGTAACTAATAATTCTGCGAGTTTCTTTTACGCCATTTATAATTTAGGCAACTTGCATTTTCTTTCAAATATTCTTCTTCAAATTAACAAAAGATTATTAAATTCTATTTTTATCTCTTTGGTCGAGATGAAGTTTTGATAATCGTATTTTGATAATAATAAATATCAATTTTGATTCTTAACTTGCTATCTAAGTTGAAAATAACAAAGATTGTTTGTCTAAGAAGAATTTACAATCAGCATTCTTTTGAATAAGATATTTATATAAATTTACTTTTTACCAAAAGTAAATTGGTAATTTTGGTATGTCTATGTTATTTCAAACACTTATTTGATAAATTTTAAACATGTGATATTAGTTTTTGTATGAAATTACTTTGTAGTCGAAATGAATCAAAATAATATAGAACCAAATAATAAAATGTGACTAATATGTAGGACATACAAAATGTCATTGAATGTAATGTAAGTACAACAATATCAAAAGGTCAAAGTCAATTTATTGTGGTATTTTGTAGTAACACAAGTTGATCCAGCTGTGATCACAACAATGGAATAAATTGCTCCATTCAGTCAACCTTACAATAGAGGTAACGACTTCAAAACAATCAAAAATTTCAGAAACATCACCCAATTTCAAAATTTAGGATTATGGGGAATTTTTTTTATAAATTCACAAAATGGAAATTCAAGAAGTTTTGTCCCTCGGAAGGGAGGTACTGATAGAATTATTTTTTTCTTTTAATAAAAATATAGAGAAGCTTTAAAACAACAACTGGATCATTGTATTTATGATATGGTATGTGTTGAGTCCAGAATTTTTATAGCCACCTCTCCCTCTCCTAACCATTAACCATTATACAGAGTTACTCCCTCCACCACCACCTCGTTGCATCTCCTCATTCCTCTTGTGCTCTCTAATAATTCCTCTTTTGTCTTTAAGTAATATTTAAAGTAATATTTAAAGTAATATTTAAAGTAATATTTAAATCGGATGTGAAAATGCATTAAATTTTTAAACCCTAAAGAAAAAATGAATGTCGATATTAATTGACGAATGTTGACGTCAGAACAAGCATCCGCGGATGTTGTCACTCCATGTGGCCATGATACTTGTTCATGGTTCAGTGAAATGGTGGAAAAATCTTCTCCCTGGACCAATGCTCCGGCATAAATCGGTTCATGGCTCTGTTTGCAGTCCCACTACTCTCCTTCCACTTCATCACGTCGAACAACCCCTTCGAGATGAACAATACATTTGATACTTTTATACTTTTATTTGTTTTATAATGATTCAACTTTTATTTAATTATTATTTGATATCCAAATATAATAATCCCTTAATTATTTTGCATGATATATGAACAGCAAGAGAGTATGTAACATAGAAACAAAGATAAAATAAAATTTGATATAAATTAAATATTAAATATGAAAATACATTTAAAGGATGAATTTTTATTTGAAAAGAGTCACATCTCCCCACTCCTCATCATTAACCATCTAAGATAAATGAATAAAAAAATGCTAAGAAAATTATAATTTATACTTTTGTAAACGTAGTTATTTAATATTATTAAAGTTATATTTTGTTGATAGACTAAACGTATATAAATATTGTAATGATAACAGTTATATATTGTAATTTGTATGAATTAATATAATTGCCACTCATTAATGATTTAATTATGATAATAAAAGTTTTTTTAAGCAAAACGATAATCAAGATTTTTAAATAATATAATTAATGTAATCAGTAATCATAATATATTTAACTTAATGAACATTATATTAAATCAAACTTCAATCAGAAAATAATGGTAGACGTATTTATAATAATACATTTAAAGCACATAAAGTTAATTTCAACAAAATTAATTAAAATTTTAAAAAAGCAATTAAAATTTTGTTTATATAAATTAGTTTTAAAATCTCATATCACATAACTGATAAAATAAAACATAATATATATGTATAATTAATTATAACTGATTAAGGTAATTTGTTTTTATTGGTTTAAAATTAATGCTGTCAAACTGATTAAAATTTGCAGGTCAATCTAATATATCATATATTTAAATTTAAAAAAAAATTATAAATTTTGACATGGACAAAAATTTAACAGCACACTGAGAATAATTTTGATGAATTGAAATTGAAAAGTTAAGAAAATTTTGATTAACCTCTTGGTTTACCTACGTGAGAGGGAAAAAAAGTGTGACTCAAAATTGTCCCTTTCTCTCCTTTCACTCTCTTTCAGACACACTTGCTCTTCTTCCACCGTTCTTTCTTCTGTCAAAGGTAAAAAATTCTACTAACAAAGGAGAACAGTTATCAACTATTCTAGCTCAAAAGAAATTTAAAAGTGAATTCATTTTGTAAATTCTTTTGTTTCTCACTTCCTTTCTTTAATTTTTTTTTTCAGTGACTCTTGATCTTCCAGTTCAGAGCAGTTCCTCCATTTCTCCCAGGTAACGTCACATCCACGTTTTCTGATTTTCTCTGCCTTGGTATAGTAATTTCAGGATAATGTTGTTGCGATTGTTGATTAATGTTATTGTTCATTTTTAATTTCTATCTGAATCGTACGTGTGTTTCATATTTCGTTGTGTCTTCATTTCTCTGTTGATTTTTGTTTGGCTGGTTGAAATTGCCAGGGTTCTTTTAAGCTGTTTGTGATATTTATGTAATTTGTTTTTTTTCCCGCTTCTTGTGTGCAATGAATACTGATGATGAAGAAGTGAAGTTAGGATGATGTGTTTTCATTCGTGCACAAATATAGCCACTGTTTGGTGTAATTTGTTTTTTAGTTTTTTGTGAAATTTTGTGTTTATTCGTTTGTAAGTGATACTTGTTAGGTAACTGTGTTTACATAGTTTGAATTCGTTGAAAGTATGTTCTATATGAACATTTCCTGTGCTGTAGTTTGAAATTTGAGTTGCATTATTGTCACACTAATAAGTGGTGTTGGATCATGAAATTTTAATAGATGGACTGCCTACATAGATTGAACTAGTTTAACTATCTGTTGATACATTTTGGTTCAATGTTGAGGGTTAAAATAGTGAAGATGAACTACTGTCTTGATTCATTTCATTTTCTTTTGCTCAAGGAAATTAGTTGCTGCAGTCCTTTTTTCAGGGCTAGGCTTTTTTGTTGTACAATGACTAGACCAACAACTCGAAATAAAAATAAAAGGCAGAAACAAGGGGATGACGATGGCATTTCTGAAATATGGAGGTACTACTATCCAAAATTTTTTGGTTTTTTTGGCTTGTGAAACATAGAGAGATTAGAGCAGATTGTTTATTTTACATGTTTATTGTGTAGGAAAATTCATAAAACAGGAGCAGTGACTGAAGATGATATGAGCCAACTATATATGATTTGGAAACCCGTCTGTTCAGGCTGTCGTGTTAATACTAAAGACAACCCAAATTGCTTCTGTGGATTGGTTCCTCCTCCAAATGGTACCCGGAAGTCTGGTTTATGGCAGAAGATGTCTGACTTTCTTGAAAGTCTTGGCCCTGATCCGACAACAGATCTTCGTGCTTCTGATTGTTCACCTGCTGGTCTGACAAATCTTGGTGCAACATGTTATGCCAACAGTATACTACAGTGCTTGTACATGAATAAATATTTTCGACAAGGCATATTTTCTGTAGAACCTGATCTTTTACAGCAACAACCAGTGTTAGACCAACTGACTCGGCTTTTTGTACAATTGTATGCTAGTAAAAAGGCTTTCGTAGATTCTTCCCCATTTGTTAAAACACTGGAGTTAGACAATGAAGTTCAGCAGGATAGCCATGAATTCCTGACATTGCTTTTATCATTACTTGAGAGTCGTTTGAGCCATTCCAAAATTGCTAAAGCAAGAACAATTGTTCAAGATCTTTTCCGAGGGAGCGTGTCTCATGTGACAACGTAAGAATCAGTGCTTATGGGTAACTTATTGAACTATATTCAATACGTTTTTCCTACTAATTTTACTTTGACGGGGTGGCCCTGTTAAAGTATTATAGATCTTTCAAAAATCTTGAATTTTTCTCTTATATTTTTGGTCCATCCCTTTCCCACTCCTTAAAAATACAGGAAAATGCCCAAAAAACTATTTAGCTTGGGAAAAATGCTGATGTTGCTTACATGTAAAATTCATTTGTTTTTAGTTTCTTTAGATTCCTTTTGCAAGACGAGAATTTGCATTTGTTTTCCCTGACAATGTATTTGATGTTACTAAACCACGCTTCTGATTATATTTTTCTTACTAAATTGGCTGTCACATTTTTCTTTGAGCACCGTTGGTACTCGTTGTTCATAATCCTTTTCTCGTTGTTGGTCAAAAGCTAAGATGCATTGGGATTGATATGGACAGAGGCCATGACAGTGATGCATACACAGCAGCACAACAAAATTTGATGCGTCCGTGTAATTTCT